TTGTAAAATTACATCTGGAGTACCCCAGGGATCTCACCTGGGACCGATTCTTTTTAATCTTTTTGTAAATGATATCCTTGAGTGTTTTCTTTTCTCACAAGTATTTATGTACGCAGACGACTTAAAATTTGCTAGAATTATTAAATCCTATAACGATGTTACGCTCCTACAAAGTGATCTTGATAGGCTTATTAGTTGGTGTGATATCAATAACATGAATTTGAACCCTAAAAAATGTCGTATAATAAAATTTAGTAGAAAGCATAATTTAATATATTCACAATACCGAATCAAAAATGAAATAATTGAAGAGAGTAGAAGTATGCGTGATCTAGGTGTATTATACGACCAACAATTAACGTTTGTTCCTCACCTAAATAACATTATTAATAAAGCTTCAAGGATGCTTGGTTTTGTTATAAGAACCTGTAAAGTATTTCATAATAGTAACATTAAAATTATACTTTATAATAGCCTGGTGCGGAGTGTCTTGGAGTATTGCAGCGTGGTCTGGCGCCCACATTTTGCTACACATATATTGCGTATGGAACGTATCCAGAAGCGATTCCTATGGCACTTGGCATTTTCCACTGGCATTGCCAAAAAAATTAAATCCTACAAGGATAGATGATCTCATTAGAAAAACGCAGGAAAGTCTCTGACGCCATATTTATGTATAAACTTATAACATATAAATTACATTGTCCTCAGTTATTAAGCCTTGTAAAATTGCGAGTCCCTTCTAGATTACCTCGTGGACCTATAACTCCGCTAATACCTCCATTTAGAAGAACTGTTCTGGGTAGTAATTCTCCAATGGTAAGGTTCTGTAAGATTATAAATAGCTGCAGTGACCAGGTCGATATTAATTTTGATAGTCCAAATGATTTTTTACGAAATATCTATAAATATATAAAATGAGTCGTGCTGCTGGATCTGCTTATGGATATGGTGGCTTTAGTTGTTAGTTGTTAAGTATTTAATAATAGTTGTAAGCTATATATATTTCTCTGTACTTATTGTTATACATGTATTAATATATGCTGTGTTTGCCTATAAAAAATTGTTACACTTAGTTCTAAGCTCCATAATTGTATATATATTTACAAACAATTGTTGGTAAACCTAAATAAATAAATAAATAAATAATATATATATATATATATATATATATATATATATATATATATATATATATATATATATATATATATATATATATATATATATATATATATATATATATATATATATATATAGCTAATGCAATGTAGGATGACCCACCCATTGCAAGGAGTGGATGCAGGTGGCTCAAGACCGTGTCCAATGGCAATTTATATTTGAGGCCTATCTTCAGCTGTGGATAGATAATGGCTGATATAATGATGATAATGATAGGGGGGAAGAGATTAGTAAAAGGCATTCAACAGTTCCGTTGCTAACAATAGTAGTAGCAAGTAGTTTTTACGTGAAAGAGTAAAAGATGCATCCATATAAAATAGTCCTCACAAACTTGCATTTAGAAGGATATAAAATCCTATATATGTATATACTATAAGACATGTTCCAAACGAATCTATCGAACGAGACATTTTCGTTCATTAACATAGACACGAGAAAAAAATTAAACTCAGAACATTACTTACCCGTCACGTCTCATGTACGTGATACTATAATACACGTGTTAATTGATACACTAGCGACCCGCTCTGGCTTCGCACAGTTTTTATTTTAATAAAATATAGCCCAATTTCTTTGCTGATAATGTAACCTTCCATGTGTGAAATAACTTTTAAAATCAATTAAATACTTTTTGAGACAGTCCATTACGAACAAAAATTTAAAATCTATTTTTTTATAATATACATATAGATTAAAAACGGCTTCGATTGTGGTAAAACCTTGATGGATTTAAAGACTAAATAACTGAATCGATTTTGAGAAAATTTCTATACGATGACTCTTCTCCATCCAAAGGTTGCTTAGAAGAGATCGCTCTTAGCGATAAGGCCGCCCATTGTTTGCCTAGTGTAATATTTTTTTGTAATTGTTTGTATTTACAATAAGTTTACAATTGTAATCTTATGGAGGAAACAATAAAGAGTATCTATCTATCTATGTACATTGGCGAGTGGTTTTTATTATTATGTATAGATATGAATATGTCAGATAATACGCCATCTTTTTCTGAATGAACTATAATCGACACAGTTGCAATTTTTCTTACAGGTGTTTTTTTTTTTTTACAAATTTTAACAGTACAAGAGAATAAAGACAAAAGTATGATAGATTATTACTATATTAATAAAAAATAAATAAAATTACTCGCCAACTTGGAAATTTTGCTTCAAATTATCTTTAATTATAAAAACAACGAAAACCACAAGTCGCGATTCTAGCGCCATCTAGTATTTCGTGTTCAATTTTATTTACCATAATATGATTTGACCATAGAGTAATACACCTGTAACATTTTCTAACGTGACCTTGGTATTTATTATAGCGGTTTGACAGTGTCTTACGGTCTATAAGAGACTGATAATTTCTATGATGTAGGACAATGAGTGGGTAGAAAAAAGAACTTCTGACTCGGAAGCAGAGACATGACAGCACAGAGACAGTGTACTCGTGACCACTGCCGGTGTATCATCGAAATCATCATTGTCATCATATTAGTCATTAAATGTCGTCAGAACTTAGGCGTTGTTTTGTCAGTAGTTGTCAGGCTTGGCAGACATGTTGGGAACCGTTGTTAGCCTTTGGTGATATTTTAAGAGAGATGCTGCAGCCAATTCCTCGACCATTAAATTCCCTTAATCGCGTCTAACGACATCTGCGGGGAAAAGAAGGAACGTTGAGATTCAGGTAAATCATCAAATGTATGTATATATATATGCCAATTTTCATAGTGATTAAACCATTAAGACGGTAAGAAGTAATAAAACCACTGACATAATTATAATATTAATTAAGATATATAGCTACAAAAATATAAGTAAATATATTTCTGTTTGTTGTTTATTGCCCATAAGATAGAACTAGATGGCGCTGTGTAATATCTCTAATAGTATATTTTTTTTAATGGATGATAATGAAATGGTAACTCCGCCTATGCTATCGGTATACACTGGCGGGGCACCAGTGAAGGATGATAGGTGAGGATCGAAAGACAGGTCAGTTAGCCCATCGTGATCAATACACTTGGAATTCAGCATGTTGGTTTCCAGGGGGACCGAGAGGAGGTCGTCCTGATAACGTGTATTGCTAGTAATAGAACTGATAGTCCACATTACTAACAATCCCTTCTTATTTATTTTTGATGCAACTTAGAATGGCAAACAAACCGATGGCCTTCTTGATGGAAAACGGTAATCGTCGCCTATAGACATAAGCAGTACTATGGACATAACAGAGTATATTGTTTCGCTCATGATACCCCCCATTCGTTGCCATTCTTGAGGACTCAGGTGTTATTCCTCTGTACCCTGTAAATTCACTGTCCATATCCCACCCTTCAAACCGAAACACAGCCATGTAAACACAACTGCTTCACGGTAGAAACACGAATGGGACATAGGTGCCCAAGTAAACGACTTTTGTACAAAGTCTCCCTCTGATTATAATATTATCACAATATAAAAAAACTCTACTTTGTACTCTGTATAATAATTATCTACAGAATCTTAATATGTGCATGTTCGACGTAGGAACGAGTGACAGGTTTTTTAATGTGTAATACGTGGACGACCAAATAACAGATGGACGGATGAAAGAGAGAGTAATCAATGGAAAAAATATACTGTGTCGACCTTAAGAGAAAGGTAAGGTGATGATGATGGCGCAATCCAAGCAATATTGTGAGTTGGCAGTAATTGTTTTAGAATTGTGAATTTGAAATTGTTGTAGATTTTGTGAATTTACAGGGTACAGAGGAATAACATCCGAGTCCTCAGGAATGGCAACGCATGGGGGGTATCATGGGCGAAACAGTATACTCTGTTATGTCCATGGTACTGCTCATGTTTATAAGCGACGGTTACCACTTTCCATCAGGTGGGCCGTCAGCTTGTTTGCCATTCTAAGTTGTATAAAAAAAAACGATAGCTTTAGCAGTTGCTTTTAGCGACATAATAATAAGGACGCCAACCGTCAAAAGCTTACATCAGGATTGCCCTTCCGAGGAAAGAAGGCGCTCTCCGTTATTTTGTTGATTAACATTGGTATTAAATTATGCTTTTTGAATATTAATTAATAAAGATATGTATCGACATGTATTAGATTTTTAGTACGTATAAAATACTTGAAAAGTTAAAGATTGTGTCAAACACAAAAACCGACTTCAATTGTGACAAAACCTAGTTATTTTGATCTAAAACTAAAGTAATGAACCGTTTTTGATAACATTTTTGTCGGGACCAATCTGTAATAATAAATAAATATTCTTACAAATAAAAAAAAATAGATTAATCAGTTTAAAACTGACAGAGTAATGAGAGAGCGAACATAAAAATAAAAAATCACAAACGAATTGAGAACCCCTTCTTTTTGAAGTCAGTTGTATAGGCACCGACTTCAAATAGATCAGTGGGTAACGCATATATATAATTACGTTAAGTTCATAAATAGGTAATTAGTTTATTTATCGGTAAGTCGGTTAAAAAAGAGTAGATTCCCAATTCGTCTGTCGAGTATTTTTTTTTGTATTTTACACTATAACGTGCTTATTTCTGAAGCAATTTTGGTAATTATTTTTGCAATTACTTTTGGGTCGTCAGCTTGTTTGCCATAGCCAGATGCATAAAAAATATATTTCTCTCACAGTAGTCCTACGACATGTTTATTTTATAGTGATTAAGGATTTTATTTTTATGAAGCAAAATTTAAAATTACCATTTTTACTATAGTAATAATTATATGACTTAAGATGCTGACTGTACAACTACTGTAGTATATTCGCAAGTGCCTTATATAAGAAACCCCACAAGATAATTGCTAAATGATTCAGTCAAAGTATTGTGAGAAACATGACGTGTATTGAGTTTACGGTGAACGGAAAAAAATGTTCAGGTATTGTAGTTATGGTGTTATTATATATTGAACGGACTAAATTCTTAATAATACATACATAGAAAATTCAAAATATTTTGAAATTTTTTTTATTAAATATTTTGATTTTTTTATTATTTTTTTTTATATATTTTTTGTGTTTTCTTCGAAATTTTCCAATCACTCAATAAATTATTGGAATATGATTTTTTTAATAATATTTATGAAAAAAAAATATTTTATAACAAATATTCTCATTCATTAAATATTAAAAAAATTAAACTATATTCGGTTTTAATTTAACAAGATATTTCAGGTATATAGTATTTTATTTAAATATTTCTTTTTTTTTTATTTTCAATCGACTACAAAAAGAATAAATTCTCAATTAGCGTATTTTTATCTTACTCAATATCTTAGTTATTCTACACTAAATTGGATAATTTTTTTACAGTCAATAACAGTAATAGTTGCTTGAATGGAACATTTTTATGACTACAGTTCGTTTCATTGTATATATATATTTACATGTATATAAAATCTTTATAATTCATTCTCCAAAAGTATTAGGATTCTCGGTGTCGACATCTCCATCACTGTAGAGTTTCGAGCGCATCTAAAAGATAAGGTCAAACTGGCGTCCAAAAAGACGTTCAAAAGCTCAGGGTGTTCAATAGAGCGAAACGGTACTTCACGCCGAGACAAAAACTATTGTTGTACAAGTCGCAAGTCCGGCCCTGCATGGAGTACTGCTCTCATCTGTGGGTCTGAGCACTTGGATACCAGCTTAGTCCTCTTCACTCAGTTTATGAGAGACGAGCTATGAGAATTGTTGATGATCCCAAGCTAACATGCGGTATCGAACTCTTAAGTTTAAGGCGAGACCTTATCACTCTTTATATGTTCTACCGCTTGTATAACATACACACGCTTAAGTCTGAGGTCACATACAGTGCGGATACAGAATTTTTGTCAAAAATTTTCTGCCATAAACGTTCAGGCTATGAAATAGGCTCCCTGCCTAGGTTTTCCCTAAAGACTACAATATGGGGTTCTCCAAAAAAGGTTACATTAAGATTACTTCAGGGTCGGCAACGCGCACGTGACACCCCTAGTGTTGCAAGCGTCCACGGGCAACAGGGACCATTTACCATCAGAATGGCTGTGTGCTAGTTTGCCACCTCGTGGCTTAAAAAAAATATTTACATAGTACATAATTGTTTCTTTTGTAGAGAAAAAAAAACATTTAAAAAGGAAAAAAAAAGGTCCTAAATAATCTTATATTACGAGTATTTACCACAGACTTTTATTTTACATAGATAAATTGATACTACTACTTATCTATTTTTTTATTATTTTTTCTTATTAAATCTAACCTCTGAACGCCGTTGTAATAAGTTGTGTTTATTATGCGCTGTAACACTAAAATCTAAAAGTGGTTGTAATATATGTAGGTTTACCGTAATAAAATTTGTACATCACATTAAAGAATATGGTGTTTTTATCGTATACCACGTATAAATTTTATCAAAACCTGTAAACAGTTAAAAATAAAATATAAAATAAAATGTGTCGTGACAATAATCATACGTGTCCTTCATGAATGACAACCAAGTGAATAATTCACTAGATATGCTACCCAACTGCATTGGTGTTAATACATATAGATCGTCATCACTCAATTTGTGTGCGCTGCTGGTTTGATGGCTCATTGCGTGATCACACTATCTCTCGTTGCTCACACTGAAAACTACTACTCAGTTGGTCGCAGCCACAGAATCAAGATTACATACAACTTCTTTTTTATTTTTTTTGTTAAAATATTACTACCTTTGTTGTAATAAACTACAAGATTAAGTTGATAATATGCCACGCACCCCTCCAAATGATTTTATGTCATGTGGCTCAGATTCTGAATTGAATTTAAATATAGGCCCGAAAACTATTCGTATGAAAAGGCTGCACGACAACGATGACTCAAATAGATTTGTTGAATTTGAAGGAAGACTAATGAGCATGCTGTATGATTGGAAAACCGATCAAAACTCTAAATTGGATAGTATACAATCATTGTTATAAGAAGTAAATCGTCAAATTTCGGATGTCCAGAAAGCAAACGCTGAGATAGAAAACTATAATATGCTCTTTATCGGAAAACCAAGTTAAAAATTGAACATTTGGAAACTTACATCCCATTCATATGAACAACGTATCAGACAACTAGAAGTTCAAAATGAAGAACAATTGCGAAATCTAGCTTAAGCTATAGCTAAATTTAGATTTTTTTTTCGTTTTGGTTTTTTCTTCTTTTGTAATTTGAATTTTAATTAATAACTCATTTTATAAGGTGCATTAAAATATTTACATTTCTCATAAACTACTTATATAAACTTTAATTTGTTATCTACTATAAATCATTCCTACATATTTTCACACCAATATTATGTAACAAATCAAATTTCTACATAAATAGCGTGCGTAAATAGCTTGTTGCTAAATATTGATGAGATGACCTTTAGTAAGACTCATATTTGTGAACCGGAAATTTGTCTCAGAACTCTGACAATTTTGACTCAGAATATTCGTAGTGTTAAAGCTAATATATTGTTATTTTATATATTTCTATCCAGAATTAATATTTCCTGTAATATCATAGCACTCACCGAGTGTTGACTCTCGTGTAATCCATGTATTCCAAATATAAATGGATATAACTAACTTAATGCAACAAAAAATTATAATCAAAACAATGGTGTATTAGTATATGTTCACCAAACTATCAATAAGGTTAATGTTAGTGTATAGGTTTTAGAAAAAATATTTCTTCCAGTGATGCCATGCATGAAGTGGTTAATTATGTGGTTGCAGATCTTGATAATAATAAAAAATGTTTAGCGATATATGTTGACCTGGCTAGAGCATTTGACTGTTTCTATAACTTTGTTAGTCGATAAACGAAAAATTTATAAAATGTGTATCTGTCTTTATCATCTGTCCTTATTTAGATCCTTATTAAAACCTTATGGGTCATTCTCAATGTGGAAAAATTGATACTCTTACTAGTTCCTAACAACCTGTTACTTATGGAGTTCCTCAGGGTAGCATACTGGGTCAAAGTTTATTTTTTATTTACATTAATATGTCATAGTTATATATATATATCATAAGCTATTTATTTTGTATACGCACTGTATTTAGATTTTTTTAGGTACTACCTTTTTACTATTTTTATTTTTACTTACATCACATCACATCACCTTTTATTGTAAAAGTTTTTTCTAATCTGTATAATTTGTATTATTCGAGGTAAGAGTCCTTGTGACTTGTAATACAGGTCTTAAACCTAGTACAGGCACTAGCTCCCACAAATAATATTATTAGAATGTTCTGCAAATTACAGGTAGTAGTTCTTAATTGTTTATAAGTGATAAATAAATAAATAAATTATGTGATATATTTCCAAATATCTAAATAAATATCTATTTTAAATTTTTTTTATTAATTGCATATTCTATACGGCTTAGTTCATTCTTATTCTTTCCGCATTATGAACATACTTTAAGTCATGAATTAGCTACGTACTTACTTAATATATGTATTGTGTATAAACAAATATTTGCATACAGTTGATCACTAAGCTGTATTTCATTATGTATTCTATTTGTTTAGGTGAAATACGCATAACATTACAAACGCAAAGTTCTTTCTTTTATCCTTATAGGACGGATAAATGGATATTTGCTATTCTTTAACGTAGAAGTTATTAAACAGATTCAAATAAAATTTGGTGCACGGTTATATCCTCATTTAGTAAATGATACTTTATATACCGATTCATGCAAGCAAAGCCGCAGGATACAACTAGTATTACAATAAAATGATAACTGAACTATGTCTGCAATTAAGCAACGATTAATAAAAATAATGGATTAGAGAGGTCTTAATAAGAGCAATTAAAGGTTAATAAAAAAATATTTTATTAATTTAGAAGTAATTCATGGGTTTCTTATGTGACAAAAAAGCATACCAATTAAACAAACCAATTCTGGATAGTGCATTTTGCGCAGTTGTTTTTGCGTAATGTCAAAACAAACATACATACTATATTATAGTTCATCTTTTTTTATACCCCCGAGGTGGCAAACAAGCATACGGCCCACTTGATGGTAAGCGGTTACCGTAATCACAGATAATATAACTGACTATGCGTTAACATATGAATACTTATTATAACGTGCGTGTTGTCGACTCTGAAGAAACCTCTTTACGCCATTTTTGATAAACCATAAATATCTATAAAGGTCGGTCCCCAATTACCATCAGGTATCAGGTTAGTATATGCACGTCATCATATGTTATATATATATATATATATATATATATATATATATATATATATATATATATATATATATATATATATATGATAATTACTACCTGCAAGATTCTAGCTTCGAATTAATTTTCGCGTAAAATTACTAATGATTTCAAATGTCTTGTAGTTCCACTATTTTTATTGGAAGATAATATTATTAATTAGACACTTAACCGGTTTGATACCATATTAGCTCTAGCATATTATTTTACTATAATTAAACATGTACAGAGGAGACCTAGGAATGTGGAAACATTTGCGGTCCGTCGGCCGTATGCTTGTTTGCCGATAATAACGATGGTAAACGGGAATACCGTAGCTTATGGACGCCTATAACATTAGTCAAAATAAAAAATAAAACCCAAAGTCAAATTTTTATAGGTGCTTGATATATAATTATATATACTTATATGTACTATTTCCAGACGAATGATATTTAAATATAGTTAAATATTATTATTACCTATATTTAAATGCTTGAACATTCGTGCTCCGAGAACTATTTAAACAGGTTGTTTCAGCTGGCCTCGTATTATTTGTTAATGCACTGAATAGTTATAGTTTGTATAACCTTAACCTTTCGACTTTCGCACTGCATGTTTTATGGTTTATAAGAGACGGGAATTAACGCGGTCATTAGGTAAAC